TTGGCAATCATAAATTGAAAATAGTTATAATAAAATTCTAAACTATAATAAAATAAGTATAGTGTTGAGCTCAGTTTTTATATTATAAATCCAGTGGTGTAGTTAGTTGTACACTCAGAAAAAGCTGATTTATTCTACACAAAAAGGGGGTGACAGCAGTTAGTATACAAACTTTATTTTTTACAGGCCAGTGGGTGTTAAGTGTGATGTACAAAACCACTGGTACTTTTAAACAGATTATAGCCAGCTAAATGTAAAATTCATTTATTTTTAAAGTTATAAGGATATGTCTGACATCGTTTTAGAGGATTTTGATCTTTAATCAAACTCTTTCAAACTTTAGGCTACTTCAGACTCTATGGGTTATTACCTTTAGTTTTTTGTCTTTTTTTTTATTGAGCATTCTGACCAAAATGCACTGCACTTATCTATAGTTGCTCAAGAATGTTGTCACCAACACTCTTAAAAAAATAAATGTTCCAAAAGTGAGTTTTCACGATGCCATAAAAGAATGATTTTGGGTTCCTTTCAGTAAAGTTCTTAAAAGAATCCTTTTTTTCCTTAAGGCCGAAGGGATCTATATGACTTTTGCCCACATCTTTACCCCGATGTACATTCGATACTAGTTGTCGAATGTCATAGCCAGTCTGCAAACTTGTGTTGACAGGTTTCACTTTGAATTTTAGCTTCAGACTAATGGGTTATTACCTTTAGTTTTTTGTCTTTTTTTTTATTGAGCATTCTGACCAAAATGCACTGCACTTATCTATAGTTGCTCAAGAATGTTGTCACCAACACTCTTAAAAAAATAAATGTTCCAAAAGTGAGTTTTCACGATGCCATAAAAGAATGATTTTGGGTTCCTTTCAGTAAAGTTCTTAAAAGAATCCTTTTTTCCTTAAGGCCGAAGTGATCTATATGACTTTTGGGAACATGTTTGATATTTTGAGTGAATTTTAGAACACAATGCTTGCATCCAAAATCACATGTTGTCTAGTAGGTACAAAATTTAGTATAACATTTAGTTAACTAACTTCACAACCATTTAAAAAAAGTACATTCTATATAGTATGAATATGGGTAGTATAATGAAATTCGGATGTACTACATCCATCATGTTGTTACTGTCACGTGACCTACCAGCATTACTCGCATCGCTTCACTGTTATTCACAACTTTTCTCCTATAGCTTCATGGGGTGAAGTGTTCACTAAATGCATACTCCAGAGACTCTGGAAAAGTAGTGTTTTTCTAATACTACTCTTGGCAAACTGTTTGACATACTATTGCAGGCAGCAAATGATTTATCATGTCTAGGAACAAGACTTGAAGTGTGTGATGCTCAGTTTTTCTCTGTAACAATTTGCAAAGATGGAAAATGTATTATGCCTAGTGTTTGAAAATTGTGTCATGTAGTGTATTCCAGCCTTTAGTGTGCAAAATTTTAATAATCTGAAGTACATTTTTCCACTATATAAAGAACCTTTTGTTAAAGGTTCTTCATGGAACCATAAATGCCAATAAAGAACCAACATTTTAGGATTAAACACTCAGCATTAAATTTCCTTAGCCTTAAATATGCAAAATGGAGAACATCTTGAGTTTTATTTCATGCTTGCATATATTTTTGTATTTGCTTTTAGGTTGCATACTTCTCAGCCATGGTGCCAAACCGGAGATTGGGTCTGGCCCATCCTTGCTGTATTGGCCTGCTTTTCCTACTCCTCCTGCTCAGCTCAGTTTCAGTGAGAGAACCTCGTCATCAGTCCCACGTCCACCTCCCCTTGCTGATACCTCATGCCACCCTGCCGCTGTCCCGCTCCCGCTTCAGTTCCAAAGCTCAGCTGGACTTCACTACCCACTGCAACGAGAGCTGCTACCGCAAAAGAGAAGACACTGATAAAGAGCACATAGCTTTCGAAACTCTTTATGCAGATGGCTCGCGAACTTTAACCACTGTTGACCTGGAAGTAAACGACACTGAACTTCCTTTCAGGCAGCCCAAAGTAACCACTCCCAGATGTAAGCGGCTAAAACGCCAGATCTACGGTTCAGATGGGCGATTTAACATCCGTGGTGACCACTTCCTTCTGGACTACCCGTTCTCCACAGCCGTCCGCATCTCCACCGGCTGCACTGGAGTTCTGGTGTCCCAGCAGCACGTCCTGACCGCAGCCCACTGCGTGCATGATGGGAAGGATTACGTCAAGGGAGCGAGGAAGCTCAGGGTGGGCTTTCTAATCCCTCCATCTGTTAACGGTACAAGGCCGGGTCAGGCTCCCGTGAAGAAACCCTTAGTGCGCTGGGTGAGAGTTAAACGCACCCGGGTTCCTAAAGGTTGGATTCAAGGTCCTCAAGAGGTCAGCATGGATTTTGACTACGCACTTCTAGAGTTGCGCTGGCCTCACCGGCGTCCCTTCATGCGACTGGCAGTGGCACCCTCATCAGACAATTTGGCTGGTAAACGCATCCACTTCTCTGGATTTGACAGTGACCGGCCTGGGGAACTCGTGTACCGCTTTTGTCCTGTGGTGGATGAGTCCAACGATTTGATCTATCAGCACTGTGATGCCCGCCCTGGAGCGAGCGGCTCTGGTGTTTACGGACGCGTGTGGGACGATACATTAGAGCGCTGGGAGCGCAAGGTCATTGGGATCTTCTCGGGCCACCAGTGGCTGGAAATCAACGGCGAGAATCGCGACTACAACGTGGCTGTTCGCTTCACTCCGCTGAAGTTTGCTCAGATCTGTTACTGGGTTCATGGAAATAAGGTGGACTGCAGTCAGGACTGAAAGTATGACAGAGGAATGGGACAATATCAAATCAGTGGACAAAATATGACATGCCTGATTTTGGAAACGGCACTTTACAGTCCTTTTACGGGTGTGGCTACTGAATCTGAGAAGAAAGAAGGTCCATGGCTGGTAGCTCGATACCCACAGGCTTCGATCACTCACATGGGTTGAACTGGAACTTTGTTTAACCACTACCTTTAGTTTTTGCTCACTATACTGGCAATGTTACGCATAGATTTAGACTTTGAGTCCTACAACACAGTAGATTTATCTTGTCGCGTCTTTGCCAATGTTAAGTAGACATCTGATCTCAGTTATATGATTCTCTCCACAGCCTTGCTTTGTTCAGATTACACATTATAAATGCTTCAAACTGTTCTTTGCACTTTTAGAAAGTAGATTTGGGATGGAGACAGGTTTTCTTACATCTCATCACTTGGGTTTTGGTTAATGCTAGATTAACATGTACAGAGTTTATTTGCTGACTAAAAGTAGATGCAAAAGGGCTATGCTTCCTTCTTTTCCATACCTGCACATCCGTTTGGTCTGCTAAGTATACTATTTTTATGTTTTCTGATTTATGATTAACATAAAAATCGATGACTGTGAGATGTAGTATGGGTGTTTAAATTGAAAGTATATATATTTAAAGAACGGATTCAAAATCTTGTTTATGCATTCATCTGGCACTATGAATATAGGTCACTCTTCTACGGTTACATACTCATTTCCAAGACAGATGAAGACCTCGTATTGGTAACTACAGTATCTACTGCGAAATTATTGTCACTGTTCTTTTATGTTGGAGTAATATAAAGACTGGACACAAACTAAGAGAAAGGTTGTGGGGTAAATGATTATTATTCTATTTTTTTTTTACTTTTATTTTAATAAACTTAAATGTGTCTTGTTTTTGCTGTCATTACAGGTACAGTAACACTTTTATTTGTTACTAAAAATGTGCGAGGTCAATGCTGCAGTAGCTACTGATAGCTTGTGGTTTGTTAATTCATAATTTCAAAAATACTGGAATACGCTAGGAAAAATTCAGATTGTAGTTGAGCACTGGAAGGTGGAAGGTTCATTTTTTTCAGCGGGGTTTTGAAATGAATCTCTACTGCCCTCCACTGGTTCACGTGGGCACATCTTTCATCGAGTCTTTCACAACATGGCTGAGCAGTAGTGCTTACGCTTCAGTCAGTAGCGATTATACTGACGTGATCACGTCATTCAGCAGCATTGCAGAAGCTCAGTGCTTTAAAATAGGTCAAACTGTCCAGTAACTGTTTTTAAAAGAACAAATGGTCTAGCGTACCACACACTTCATTTATTCATTGGTCAATCTAAACTGTTCACAGAAATCCCTTTTTTTTTTTACTGAAAGATTTTGTTCAATACTAATGTATGAGAATGTTTTTCAGTTATTTTATTTCTTGGGCTGCTTCTGATTAATAATAGGTTAATTTTCAGGTTGAATACTACATTAACCCTCTACATACGATTCTAAAGTGAATTTTTTTTTTTTTGTCATTTATCAGTGAATAGACCCAATACGCATCTTCCCATTTACGTTTGATCTTGTATATGGCATTGGTTCTTTTAAGTGCCAGCAGGAGTGAGATGTTGGACTTTAAAAAAAGAAGACCATTTAAAAAAATGTATCTGTTCAGGAGCTGACTCAGTGAAGTTTGTTTTAAGGAACTGCATTTTTATTAACAGTTTTGAATGTAGTTGATATTCAGCAGTTTGATACCATTATCTTGAAATCATAATTATATAACGGCTATTTTTATTATTAGCTTGTAATCTACTGAACTACATGATCAAAGGGCAGTTTGATAATATTATATTTCCACAGTTGCATTCCAACACAGCCACCCATCAAATCCATAGGGAGGATGAGAAAGCAATCAGTTTTTTGTTAGGATCCATTTGAAACTTTATGAATTTTGCAAACCATCACATATTTCAGTGCATAAACCACTGATAAAACAGCAACAAATGCAGACTATCCACACACAAATATAAGCAAATATCTATAAACCAATATAAAAGATCAATGAGTATTCTAAGATAAAGAGCAAATTAGATTCACCTTGGGGCAAAAAAAAATTTTTTTTTTAAAAATAAAACGACCCTCACACAGAGGATTTGCCAAACATGAAGAAACAAACCAATTGTAACACAGCAGAGTTGTTTAGTGCTTTTTTTATTAGAGATAAGGAGACGATACAAAACATCCACTGACCAATATCCATCAAAGCTCTGTACACAGGCTAACCAAATATATCGCTCCATCTAAACTTAATACGTGTCCATCAATCCACTCAATCCGATTCATCAACAGACCGCTCACCCACTAGGCCCCAGATTTCACAGGTAGAAGGAATGTAAAAAAAAAAAAAAAAAAAAAAAAAAAAAAGGAAGGGGAGAGTAAATTGTGTTCCCAGAATGGTCCGATAACGTGTGATTTTGTAGTAAATTTTGTACTACACCTAGTCTTCATACTCTACCATCCAACACACATACTTAGAAAAACTTAACTAGACTTTTGGCCCAAAAAATAAATAAATCTTAAGAACAAATAGTATGTTGTATAGCTGAATTGTAACGGCTGCTGTCTCAGTCTTTCCTTTCAACAATCTAATGGAACCCAGAAAGAACGAAAACCTGCCAGTACACATTTACAGTTATATTACTTTTGTTTTTATAATCATCATCCTTGGTTTTTGTCTTTTAAGATCTTTTTTTTCTCTTATGTTTTTGTTCTTGATCATTGTATGCGTGAACTGGAATGACAGCCTACATCTTTCGTCATGTGTGGAGTTTGGAAACTGTCACTTTCGCCCAACCCTCCCCACCCGCATTAACCCACCCCGTGGCCCACAAACAGTCGTTCTGGCCCATCTGCCCCACCCATGTCGGAATGAACAGCTAACCCCTGAAATGTGTCAGCCTCAATCGCTCAGAGGCTTGCCCTCGAGAGTCACCACTGACGCTCCCCCGAGCTTCTCAGCAAGGGTCTTTCGGTCCTTGATATCTTCTAAACCGTTCACTTGCCACTCGTGCTTGATACCTGTGAAACAAGACAGGACAAAATGTTACAACTCTCAAATATCACGACTACATAATTCATCATACAAATAAAATATTGCATGCATATTTCAATTGTTATTTAAATTAGTTCATATTTATTTTAGTATCATTCTGCTACTATTATAGTTAATATTTTACATTTTACATATAAAATGTCAGTTTAACTTTTAAAAACTGGTGTGCATTTGTTTTTAATATTTTTTGTTAAAGGCATCTATATTTTTCTCAGCTGTAGATTTTAAATTAAGTTCATACATTTCAGTTAATTTATTAGTTTATTTCAAGTAACATGTTTTATGGTTTTAGTTTTATTAACCATAATTTGTCATTTATATACAGTTCAGTAGAGAGTTAAGCAAATTTTATATAAAATTTAAACTACACAAGAAATGTTTTTTTGTTTTGTTTTTTTTATATCATTTTTAGCATTACCTGTGAACTTCTTCTTGATGGCATCCTTGGAGCTGGCGTATATCATCTTGCTTTTGAGTGGGGCATTTTCTGGGGCCCTGTGCAATACAACAGGAGATCAGATCATGTGGCTCATGCAAGAATTTGACAAGTCTATATCAGGGGCCGCCAATACGGTTCCTGGAGATGTACCTTCCAGCAAAGTTCAGCTCCAACCCTGATCAAACGCACCTGAACCAGCTAATGAAGACCTTCAAGAACACTTGATAGTTATAGACAGGTGTATCAGAACAGGGTTGGAACTGAAGTCTGCAGAAAGGCACACCTCCAGGAACAGGATTGGGATCTAAATGAATCACATGCAGACGCTCTTAAGACTTGCCAGAAAATGAAAACCAGGTCCTCTTTCTTGGTCTCCTTAGTCTCATATGTGGCATCATAGAGAGCGTAGCGACAGTCATTAGGAGGAAGCATCTTGACAAACTTAAGGTAGGGATCTCCTTCATCTCCCTGCAGGATCTCACTGCCCTCCTCCATGATGATATGCTTCTTGTCCTCGCTCAGGCAGAAGAGAACAGCCTTCTTCCTCTTGTTTTTCTCTTCCTCGTTGGCAGAAGCCTTGCGGACCTTCATGTCATTGAAGATCGTCAACACGTTCTCATCCACTGTAACTCCGGAGGCCTGCGAGCACACACACACACACAGGATAAGGTCACATGGAGGGCCCGTTTGAATAGAAGGAAGTGAGTGAGCTGATGAGCAAGGATGTGTGAATGTGTGGGTGCAAAGTCAGAATGAGTGAAAGAATGGGATTTTTAAACAAATAACGCCGTCTGTTCTAGCTAAACTGGCTGCCCTTTTGACAAAACTGGATGGTTATATCTGGACCTTGTTAGGCTGAATCCAAACTTCTAGGCCGGCAGGTTTACCCATGCGAGATGGCAGTAAGTGACTAAACAAAAAACCCTGACATAGGAGAAACAGAACAGCACACTTCTAGGGCAGTGAAATGTGAATCAAGGCAAAAGAACTTAAATATCAATCTGGGAGAAAAAAAAAAACATTGCAGGGATTTGGTTTTTATTCCTGGGGGGGGAGAATTGTAAGTATAAGAAAAAAGGGCTGATTTGAACAAGGCACCATTCTTTCCAAGTCACGTGACACCTCAGATATGGTGTCCGATATGCTCTAACACATTTGAACAGAAGCAAGGTTGGCCACTTCCTCATAAGAGCTGATGTGATTTGTACTGATAGTCTGATGCAGGAGCATCAAATGTGTATAAAATTACTTAATCGATGTAGATGCTATAAGAGTCATGCCATACAAAGCTGGTGCACAGCTTTAGATCACAAAACAATGATTCTTCTGTGAAAAATCAAAATGGCCTCAGTCACAACAGTCCCATAAACCTACTCAGGTCCTCTGATTTCCATTAGAAATGTGGATCAGTGACTCATGCTGCATTGCCATAACCAGGCATTCAACATTTCAGTTCCTAAGATTCTACTGTGAGCAATGAGAAAACCCTTTAAAAAGGCTAGAAACCTGAACCTTGAGTTCTCTAGTGTCTCTAGTATCCAGCTTCTGAATAGCATATGAGGACATGTTAAAACGTGGACACACGGAGCCTAGCGGGGTATATGCTAAAATGGCCCACTTACAGGAAACGTAAGTCTAATGGGTGGAACCAGGTTTGCTTAAGGTGTGAATGAAAGGAACGTGTCATGATGTCTCATTACGCAACACGCTCACAAAAAATGGGGCACTGAAGGCCCAAAAGAGAATTAGGATTCCCACACCTTTTGACCAATGAACTACCACGACCTTTCCAGTCTTTATGATCATGGGACCCTTGTTTTGGCTAAAAAGACTTAAGGCAATACATGAATGTTTCTTTAAAATCCAATTCAGTTTAAAATCACAAGATTGAAAGTAAAATGCAAATTCGAGACCTTCTGCAAGAAAACAAGGCGTTCCCACCCTCATCTGTCATCTAGTATCAAAAGATTAAAGTGCAAAATAAAGTGCAAAGTTCAAGTACAAGGACACTAATGCTGCTGGTAAATCATCCACGTTCACAGAGAAGTGAAACCCACAGTGAGAAATGAGTGAGCATTGTGATACAGGACATGTGACGTCTCGTGTCCTCAAATGAAGAAAAGCTATTGTATAAGGCGTTCGGTCACATGCTTCTCTCAAAAAGAGATTTTGACGTCGCATATTGTCCTCTCGACCGAGACTGGTCGCACCGGAACCGGCATTTCCTTCAACCTACACGCGGCATGAACACCATTTCCCCTCGACAATCAAATTAGGCGACGCTTCATCAACGTTACGTCCAACCAGGAAGAGTGTAGTCGTGCACACGCAGCCTGATGATATGCAAATGCACAAGTAACGGATTTTAAACTTGGTTCCCTTCCACTCAGTGCAAATACTTTAGTAATATTTCGGCTGAAATCGAGTTGTAATCTACCTAACAGGTTCCCAGTCGAGTTTTTTTTGGTCAAAGAAATAAACCAACACCATCGGTGCATCAAGAATTAGGGTGGGGCCACGATTGCAGTGTTCGTGCGTGTGTTCCAAATATCCGCAAAATGACTGCGTTCTAAAGACGTGAAGCGTCCTACAAGCACGCGAGGATTCGGCCTCAAAAAATGAATCATCGACGTTTTTACACACGCCCGCAGCCCCTCTGGTGCGAGCGATGGTGTTTTCTGACGGATGGCCGTGATCAGACAAAGGACAGAGTCGTGAAAGCGCTTCATCCGGCCGGTGAAAAACGCAGTTAAACACACACGCAGTCATTGGTTTATTCACAGCTCGTTTCTAATTTTCCCGTGCGATGTGATCGTATGTGGGGCGATGGGGCCTGTAGGTAGTGTGTGATAAAAAGCAGCGAGGCCTTTCCTGGGCCTGGACTCACAGAAATAAAGGAGGCTGAGCGGGGAAATGGCGCCAGTTGTTTTTGGGTCTCATTTTTGTCAATCTCATCGCATCCGAATTAGCCGAAGGCCACGGACAATCAAACCACCGAGAACCGCGAGATTAATCGTACATGTTAATAAATACAGACACTGCCACGAGAACCAACGAATATCGGTTTGCGGTTTTCTCAAAATTCACGGCACTTAACATAGCCTGCAGCTATTAGTCGGCTGAGGGGTTCATTGGCAGATTTGATTCACAGATTACTTAATCACAATAAAAACCAATAAAGCCCACAACCTAGTCATTAAACTCTCCAAACACGTTGAAACTAGCCGTAAATTATATTAGTTGTTATTTAAATGTAGACATACCATGGTTGTCTTTGCTAGTCGGCGTCTGGATAGGAATTGAATGAGCTGTGATGCAGTCCTTCGGTCTCGCGCACTTGATACAACACTCGGGCGCGCCCTTTTGCGCGTGGCCGCGCAGCAGACGGGAACGAGCGTCCATGTCACGCGCTTATTGAGGTGTTATGGGATCTGTAGTTCTGGGCTCTATACAAACGGACTTGGGCATAGTGAAATATATATTTACTGTTGTTAGTAGCACACTGGCACAAACGTATGGTCGTATATATATATATGATTATTATAAATTAATTAACATTTTACATATTCATCATTTAGACCGGTTCGGGAAATTCTTGTGATGGTGTTTTCTGCCCCATACATGGTAACGTGACATGATGGACGGTGTGGTTATACTACTAAATTCTGCACCGAAACACATACTACACCAATAGCAATATTCGTTAGTGGCTCGTAGGGCACGCTGCTGTCTGAGCCTAACCCTGTGTTTGTCTCTGCCCCTTTTTAAGGTTCGCTTAACTCGCTTCCAAATAAGGAAGCAAATGGTGACAGTCGTGAGCGCGCTTCAGCCAAAGTTGCGCACATCAGGCGGCTCGCGACTCCGATCGCCATATAAGGAAAGAAGGGCATTTCATTTCTATAGGAAAAATTCACACAGCGCGCGCTAGAGGGAGCGGTGTACAAGAACGAAACAGCAAAGGAACAACACGTTCCGCTGACCAAATAGGACAGAATATCCTTTACTATCTGAAGTGAAACAAACGTTGTGTGAATTAAAAATTCCGTTTGCTCGCTTTTGTTCATTTGTAGACTCTTGGAAATGAACGGATGTTCAAAACGTGGCCACGGTGCTCACTGAAATGTTCTCTCCGTTTAAATCAATGCTGACACCTAGTGTACAAACGTTGACACTTCTCTTCAACTGTATACAAACAAGACCCATCAGTGTGTGGCATGCTTATAGCTTTATTTTTTGGGATATATAAAGTAACCGTGAAAGTGATAGAGAATGATCCCTGGTATGTCAGTTGAGGCAGGTGCACTCGACTGGAAGAATGAAGGCAACACATTCAAAGCCCCCAGCTGGGGCTCTGGAGGAATGCAACGAAGAAAAACGCCACAAATACACATTACAGACATGCCTTAGGGGGCATATGCATATTTTCATTGTCTTTAAAAACCTGAAAAAAAATGCTTTCAGGTACTCTCATATGCCTGGAAACAGAATTCTCCAGGTATACCATTTCACCACCACATCATACATGAAATAAGAGGAATGTCACCTGACAAAAAATACAATGGAAAGTCATAAGACGCAACAGTGCTCAAACCACTCAAATAACAGAATCAATTCAGGCATTTACTAATATATGCAAATATGAATCTGATTACAGAATAGTGCACAATGAATAATTGATATTAGCTTTTCTATCAATACTTGAACTTTCAATCCAACTTAATGACAGTTTCAGGATGGTTTTCAACACCGAACAACATGCCTTTCAGGATGGTTTTCAACACCGAACAACATGCCAGCAGTTAAGAAGAAGTGAACAGAACCAGTCCAGCACTTAAGAACATTGGGCTGCAATAATATATGTTTGTTACCCCGATTACGAAACCCAATACAAGTGAAACAGCTTGCTGACAGAACTTCCCATTTAAATCAAACATGGATGTATACAAGATAGAAAAATGGAATGCATAGAAGGCCACAAATTGGTACAAAGATCATAGAACAAAGCTCTTGCAAAGGTCACATAATATAGTGTAATTACACTTTTAATACTAAACATCTTATCAAGCTTAAGCCTTAATGAAATAAGGGCAGTTCATGTGCAAAGGTATTCATGGCTAAAGAGAACAAACAGATAACATGTCTACAGAGTACAATACAAGTGCAATCTAAGAGTTACACGACCCTGACCTGCTATGGAGGATGTCTTTGGCTGTACTGGAATTAACAACTGTAAACGTATCACTGCAGCTCTGTGGAGAGTTTAGCCCTTGTGCTAAATCCATACCTGTCCCTGAAATACCAGCTGCTGGTTTGTGATATTTGGTCTTATATTCATATTTGTGTTGATATTTAAAAATCTGCTTTAAGATATTCTGACAAAATCAGTCAACCTGTATAAGAAGTAGAAGTTTAAGTGCTATGTTTGGAGATGTGCATTATTTGGTAACATATTATAGGTCGCGTCTATGCAGTTTACATCTTGTTCTGGCATTTTCTGTATGATTGAAAAGCTATCTTGTCTTCTTCTGTTGTGCATCCACCTGACTCTGGCTTCTTGTCTTGTTCAACACATCTGTGGCCTGGAAAAAAATAATAATACAAAAAAAATTGAATTTAGACAACTTTGGTACATTTTTAATCTTTATTTTAAATATATAAAAAAAATATATATATATGAATATTTTTACCTGCTCTAGTATTACTCCAGCAGCCTGGTCTATGGCTGTGCCTACTTCTCTGTACTGGCCAGAGTACCGGATAAAGGCCCAGGTCAGCATAGCAATCATGGCCAGGCCAACTACACAGTCACTTGCAAAGGAAATAGTTTCCAGGCCAATGAAAGACAAAATTCCTGACAGCACATACAGGAGGCAGACCAGGACAAACAGCACTGCAGGTGTCCGGAAAGCACTAAAAACATTCTTGGACTGGAAAGACAGCATGAGTACAAAAAAAATTATAAAATCCGCTAAGTTTTGAAATATTTTTCACACATTAATTTTATCGATTCTTTTTCACATTACTGTTACCTCGTTGTGTTTGCTAAAGGACTCCCACAGCTCTTTTAGCTCTGCTTCCAACTGTTCCTGGTAACGGTAACAGAAATCCCGCCCACCCATCTTCTTAGTGCTGGAGAAGAGATGAAGGGCCTCCTGCAGGATAAAACGGTGCTTCTCCTCCAGTGAGTCAGGAGCCACATAAGGCAGATCTCCACCACACACCTAGCAGTGAGGGGGAATGTGTGAAAAATAAATAAAAAGGAAATTATATAAAAGGTTAAATGGATATTAGGTTTGGCAACCACATGCCAATGCAAATGTAAAAAGTTTGCACAGAACGTGTATTAGTGACAATGTTGTGTCTCTCTTGTTTATTACTAATTATTACTAATGTTTCATTCAGCAACTGTATGTATTAACCTGTACTTCTTATTGTATATATGATGAGTGTGTAACACATTCCAGGTAACATACTGACCTTCTCCATATTTTTGTAGTACTGGTCTTTAGCTGACGCCACAGCCGCAAGGTTATTGGCCTCTGCTGTAGCCTGAATGAGTCAAGACATTAATTCAACAACATGACATCTTGTGACAGGTCACAAATGAATACCATAAATCCGTAAAACTGCATTGTTACCTCTAGCATGGATTTAGGCTGTGGAAGGTCTTCTCCCTGATATATCTTGATATATGCCTGACAGAATGGTGAAATATATATTTTTTTAAATGCTGCTCAACAAAATAGAAATCAAGATGATCATAAGCCAGGCGTGAGCTCACCTTGAAGTACTCCAGCAGGCCCCTGCAGGTCACCTTATTCCCATTGATCTCTTTTACAGCCAGCTCGTCAGTCTTCAGCAGATTGGGAATGAGTTCACGCAACTGTTCCTTGAACTCTGGAGCCACATCTGAGAGAGGCAGAAGGAGTGATTGTTAGAGAGAGAGTTAGAATACGTTAACACAACATAACAAGAATGGCAGCATAAAAAGAGAGACTGAAAATGCAATATTAAAAAGAAAATGAAACCCACAATGAGGGATGCAAAGAGTAAGTGGAGAGTTGACAAATATACACTACTGTACTATGATTTGGGGTCAGCACGATTTTTTTTTCCAACTCATTTTTATTCAGCAAGGATGCATTAAATTGATCAACAGTGACAATAAAATACATTTAAAATATTACAAAATATTTCTATTTCAAATTTATTCTGTTCTTTTGAACTTTCTATTAATTAAATAATCCTGAAAGTGTACCATGGTTTCCATAAAAATATTAAGCAGCACAACTGTTTTCAACTGTGATAAAAAGAAATTTTTCTTGAGCACCAAATGAGCGTATTAGAATGATTTCATAAGGAAATCACAGGAATAAATTACACTTTCAAATATATGAAATAGAAAATTATTTTAAATTGTAATAATATTTTACAATATTAGTTTTTACTATATTTTATACAGTAAAAGACTTCTTCCAAAACATTAAAAACATCTTACCAACCCCAAATTTTCAGTAGTGTATGTAATATTTGTGTGGATATGTACCAGCAGAATTAGGGATGGGCCCTTTGATCAAAGTGCTGTGAAATCACAAAATTGGTGTAAAATATTTGAGAAAAGTTGAGAAGAAAAAAAAAATTATGGTGTTTTCAAGACAGATCTTCACTGGCACTAGGGCTGCACGATTATGACCAAAATCATAATTGTCGATTATTCCCTTGAAATTGTAATTGCGATTATTAATTACGATTATCACAACTTATCTGTTTATATATGAAAATAAACAAGCTGAAAGCACTCTAGGCTAACTGAAAAACATTTAGTGCTTTTCTATAGTATTAAGCCTCAAATGTCAACTAAACATCGGATTGGTTTCTTCTTTAAATTATAAAAAAGTAAAAATATGAATGGTATTATAATGTTATACTAAAACTAAAATTAAAATAATGGGAAAAAACCTTAAGATAACATGTATAAAGAAAAAAACGCATCTTAAGCACACAGAATAACATAAGTGGACTTTGAACGATTAATTGCGGCTTTGAACGATACGTAATTGTGGCATCCATAATTGTAATTGCGATTAGAAATTCGATTAATTGTGCAGCCCTAGCTGGCACTATTAAATGCTCTAGTATTTGTGCCCATCCCTAGGTAATAGGTGTAGTAAAACATGAATAAAGTCTAATACCACACAGCTGTCCCGAGAAAGCAGGGCTTGTTGCCACCTTCAGGCCAGGGTGTGGTAAGAGAAAACAGGAAATGGAGGTGAAACAGGAGTGAATGTGCTCTCTCACTGTCTGGAGCTCCTCATGCTGAGTCTGCTTCACCTGAACACCGGCAGGCAAACACATAAAAGAGATATCACTACAGACAAACTGAACATACCGAA